CCCTGGCCAGGAGGAAACATCAGAGCTGCCTGGAAAGCTTTTGAAAAATACCTGGGGCCTGACCCCTGCCACAACCTTCTCCAAGAGTGAGACCTGGACTTAAAACCTCACCAGTGATTCTGATGTATGTTTGTGGGTGTGAGAACCAGTAGTTTGAATCCATTTTTTAAATTGTTCTTTCATGTATTAGCTAATATAATAGATATTACAGTGCTTTTATTAAGTGTAACATTTGCTCCTGAGTAAACTATTCCGGATCTTGTTAGTTTTACTTGAATGCCTGTGATATGACCTTTTCCTTATCTGACTCCAGAACAGCAGTTTGTGCAAATATTTCCGAAGCTTGTCTTCAAGTCAGTGGTGGGTTCCCTGCATGCAAATCAACTGTGGAATTTATGGAACATCTCAGGTTTCTTGGCCCATCATGCGGAGCTGGTATATCTCAATGGGTCTTAAGGTGGTGGTTGGCCAAGGTTATAAACCACTGAGTTAGCATATGTTTGGTGAGAAAAATTAACATGGCATTATTTATAAAGGCATCAAATTGAATCCTGCCTTCTAGAAGCAAGAAAATACTTAACCTCCTTCAGCCTTCCAATCTTCCTCCAGATTACTCCTCACCCTATATAGAGTTGCTTAGATTTGGCACCTCTCTCATGGGCCCAGAAAAACCTAACTTTCTTCTTTATTTAAATGCAAAAACATCTATCTCTGATAGGAAACCTGGAAGTGGAGACTGTTAAATTTGGGTGATTGTTAAATATATGCTGACTTCTCAGGTGCACAGCCTTTCAGTGGATATGAGTTGGGGTACACAACACTAGTAGGAAGTGATGGGTTCACTGTAGTAAGGGAAGGTCAGCATGAAACATGCATCCGAAGATCACCTGGTTCAGAAACAAGGAATAAAACTTGAGATGGTTCTTGGCAAGTCGCGTTGAGATAGTTGTTGCTTTTTGGCCCCACAAATTTAACTGTCCACTTTTTAAATCATGAAAATTCCTCTAATACACAAAAAAATTTGTAGGTTCACTGTTCTTACAGGCTTTTAAAAATGAATAGAAATGTGTGTGGTAGGGGTTTAGCTTAATTGAAACATTTTCCATGGAGACTAGGCTCTGTGGAAAAGTGTTCAGGTAGACTCGCTTCATTTACTCAAACGTGAAGATTTAAGTGCTGTTTTGCATAGGGCAAAGAAACATAATCAGATAATGTGGTTTATGTGACTTTTTTCTGGGGTTTTAAGGTTTCCTAATTCCACCCT